TCCAAAATCCCTCTTCTTAATCCCTCCCTGGATCTTCAAGTAAACTCAAGTTATAAATTCTTTTACAAGAATATTTTCTTAAAGCGACATATTTTCAGGGTTACCCTGATTTTCAGATTTGTTCCTGCTGAATATAACTTGCTTTTATACCATTTCTCAGATATATGAGTTTTTGAATAACTTTGACATAGTTTTAAATCAATTACTCGATACAGAGGCATCAGAATAAACTAATATTGGTTTCGACCAACTCTCAACATTTGTAGGCCTCAGTTAGCGTTGTTAATCGTTTTAAAAACTTTTTAAAAAAACGATAGTTTTTAAAACGTTCGGAAAACGAAACAAAAAACGACAGGAAAACGAAAAAAAACGATCGTTTTTCAAAAAAATGAAAACGTTAAATTCCTAGCCTCAGCCACTTTAATCAATTACTTTTAGATAACAGCAGCAGCTGGCCTTGTTATCATAACAACTCTTAATGTACTGCAAAATGGTCCTGGTGCACTTTTTAGGTATTTTTTACAATACAAACAAAAATTTGATCTAAAATTTATAATTTTTTAAAATTTTTTTGAAGCAATGCGGAGGTGACAAAACGATCTGGGAGAGATACAGGCGGGGTTTTATTTTTTTTTAAGTAAAAAAATCAACATTTTCTTTTTAAAAAATATATTATTTTTTCACAAAAATTCACTAGCCCATTTTTCTATAATATTAATGGAGGGGGGATTTTTAATAATTATATACCCGGACTGCAGGATCAGATAACTGGATGAAGGATGGTGTTCATTATTTATCTATAAACACTATTGCTAAACTGGAACCGGACAAATGTGTTCACAGGATGATGTGCGCCGCTGCAACAGGCCGGTCAGTTTATTCAATACTTTTAAGGGATTTTTCGCAAAAACTAAAGGCATGGTGTAGCTGTTGCAAAGTCGGGTTGAATTCGAATATATGAACTCGCTCATAATTCGGCTTTTATCTGTTGCGATGCATTCGTAAATAGTTGATATTTTATAATATTTTGTATTTGTTTTTTTGCGATCTACTTTAAACGACGATTATTTGGCCACTAGGCGTCTCTTCTCTCGACGTTTTAGGGTTTCACGTGGGAGAGGCAATTAATTAGCGTCAAGTCATCTAGCGATTAAAAATCTTCTACATCGTATATAAAACAACTATTATCAACTACATGAATGCATCTCACTGAATTTCAAATTTTAAGCTATTTTTCTGAAACTTAGTTTAGAATGTATCATCTACTCTCAAAAATATTTTTAAAAATTTATTAAAATGAAAGAAAATTTACACCCCGAGGGATTTAATTATATAAGGGTTAATAATTAACCCATGGGTTTATCATTAACCCAAGGGTTTATCATTAACTCAAGGGTTTATTATTAACCCAAGGGTTTATAATTAACCCAATGGTTTATCATTAACCCAAGGGTTTATCATTAACTGAAGGGTTTATCATTAACCCATCGGTTTATCATTAACCCAAGGGTTTATCATTAACTCAAGGGTTTATCAATAAATCCCTCTTGGGTTTATATTTCTATTCATTTTAATAAATGACATTTCTTTGTAAAGATCTGGTTTTATTGTGAATAATTTATTAGTTTCAAGACTCGAGAGGGATTCAATGAAAATTGTTGCATACCAAAAAAAACAGCTCTTTATAAAGGAATGTGTTGAATTAAAAGCTCCATTGAAAAGTTTCATGTTCTTTTTACAAAGATACCTTTTACACCTGTAAATGAGCAAAAATGATGGAGACATTCTTGTTTTCCGATGTTTCCTTAGTTTTCTGCAATAAAACACTACAAACCATAATGTGCTGTTCGCTGTCACGTAAAAATGTATCAGTATTTTGTTAATAACTCACTTTAAACTTAATTTATAAACAAGCGTGTTTGATTACTCGAATGTATATGTCTAAGGCTACAAAAAACTATAAAGTAGTTGGTGAGGTAAAACTAAAGGGCAAGGCGTGGCGACACTTTAAAGTCGAGGCTGTCTAAAAATGTGATGATTAAGTTATAGGGAGTTTATTGTCATATGTCTATATCTCAGTAAGAAGGTTAACAAGATTGGAGCTTTTTAATAAAGACTACATACAATTAGAGTCAAATAGAATCAAACCAACCTTCTCTTGAAGTAAGCAGAAATTACTATTTAAAATAGAAATAAGTTTATATAGAGTAAAGAAGTCTCAGTGTGAGCTAACAGCTTTATTATATAGATCTACATATATATTTATAATTGTGAGTGAGTGCAGTGTGTTTGTTGTGGGTGTGTATATATATAATCCTATTCATTCTAATCTGATAAATTAGTGATGCTGGACACCCCTGTAAATTCATTGATTAGTTTCAAGATAGATGATTTGCACAAATTTGTCAGCTAAGGTGCAGTGAAAAAGGTTAGCAATAAATTTGTGATGGCGAAGAATTTTAGTTTTAGCACCAAAATAAAATGTTGTCCTTGAAATCACTACGTTCACTATTTCCCCATGGTTTTCCGATACAGAGAGAACCAGAAAACTCTGAAAAATGAAGACAACTTTTAGAATCAATTTATGTATTGAAAAAGTCCAATGAGCATGACACACAACTCTATTATGCGGTGTAAACAGACCTATCTTATAAAATTAGTGATTTACTAAGTGTTTAGTAAAGCTATTTGCTTTGTAACAACATCAAATACGCTTAAGTATTGATGTTATGCAGTCCTCATATTCCATTTTTTCTGGTTATCACTGTAATAATAGATATTATCCGAAAAAAGCGATTGTAAATTATAAATTGCATAACCTCTGACGGCGCCGTGACAAACTCCGGAAAGACAAACTCCTGAAAGACAAACTCCGGAAAGACAAACTCCGGAAAAGACAAACTCCTGAAAGACAAACTCCTGACGAGACAAACTCCTGACGAGACAAACTCCTGAAAATAAAAACTTCTTAAATACAAACTCCAAAATATCAAATTTGAAAAAATGTTTCACGATTTATATTTAATCTAGCCGCAGCGCTCGGCCCAGAAAGTGTCATCACTTAACCTAACCCATGACCGCAGCGCTCGGCCCCTAGCCTGTCCTAGCAGCAGCGCTCGGCCCAGAAAGTGTCTTAACTAACCTAACCCATTGCCGCAACGCTCGGCCCCCTAGCATGTCCTAGCCGCAGCGCTCGGCCCCCTGGCCTGTCCTAGCCGCAGCGCTCGGCCCAGAAAGTGTCTTAACCTAACCTAACCCTAAATAATAAAAAATAAATTATAATAAATTTGCTGGTTATTCTGATCATTGTAATATTTTGATGCCTCAAATTACTAAAGATGGAGAATTTTTTCTAGGATATTTGCGGATTTTTCCTCCTAAAGTTTATGAATTTTATCAAATTTCATTCAGAAAAAAATTTCATAATTTCAGGAGTTTGTCTTTCAGGAGTTTGTCTCGTCAGGAGTTTGTCTCGTCAGGAGTTTGTCTTTCAGGAGTTTGTCTTTTCAGGAGTTTGTCTTTCCGGAGTTTGTCTTTCAGGAGTTTGTCTTTCAGGAGTTTGTCACGGCACCCCTCTGACCCTTCAGTAAAAGTAAATTTAACCTGAAGTCTGACCGCGTCAACCTTGTTGCACCGGCTAGTCCTATTTAGTGTCAGCATAATTTATCTAATGTTCGGCGATGTAGTACAAACTAGGACCTGAAAGGTTGACCCGGCTCGGAAATTCAAATGTTCTACGGCTGCCCGTGATAAAGCACATTAAAGCAGAAATTAACATATTTACAGGATTACACATTTAAAGGCTAGAGCTATAAACCAAGATGTGCACGCTCTTTTGCAATAATCGATCAGTATTTTACAAATAACTTCTTTTTAAACTTAAACTAGAAAAAAGAGCGTTGTATGTTTAAAATATTATTGTCTAGGGCTAAAAATAAAAAGTCCATCTATACTATCAATGGAATTTTCATAATGTTTTCTTTTGAAACGGAATGTTTAGATATTTTAGGTAAGAATAATGTAATTGAAAATGTAATTTAAGAAAACATTGATTTTTTTATTTTGTAGAGGTTTCGGCTAGATGTAATAATACAAATATAATGCTTGAACAATATACACATATAATGCTTGAAATAGATAATGTCAATGAATTGTAAAGACTTGATTTTGGGTGCAGTGGGCCAATTATGCATTAATGCACTTTATAGAACTTTAACTAGTTTTGGTTGCAGTTATAAAACTGGCTTTTATGAAAGGGTGTCCTCAAAAGAACAGCTTTACAATTGCATCTCCTTCCCCTTAAAAAAACCTCTTTTTAAGAGAATTTGTTCATTTGTAAAAAAAATTCAATTTTTAATTATTAAAATTCCACTACTCTAGTTAAATAATATTGTTTGTAAAATTACAAAATTTTGTTCTAAAGATAACAACTGATTTTTATTGTTTTGAAAATTGGAATCAAAGCCACAGAAACAAATCCAATAATACAAAATAACTGGTAAGAGACGAGACCCCGTCATTTTAGGCAATTCCAAACACTGAACTTAAGTTCGAAATAAACAACCTCAGAAAATATAATATCGATATTTTAAAAATATAAAAATAACTTTAAATAATAATTTTGTATAAAAAAATTGAATAATATATTTGTCATGATTAATAGAATAGTTAACTCGCCACACCTTCTAATTGTCTAATCCTTATATCTTCGCCACCTGATATTATTTCTAACTTTGTCTATTTTGCAAAACAGAACGCATAGTTTAAAATAACAAAGGTCTGCGACAGCATATTGCAGAGATATAAGGATTTGAAAATTGTAATTTTAGACAAGTGTTCAGATTCTGCATAACACTATTTTTAGAATGAATACTGATCGGTTAGAAAACAGCTTAAACCTGATCGATGAAGTTATGAATGCTGCTCCCTACAGTGTTCATACAATCAAATATAAAGAAGCAGCACTTTTCGGAGCAGCTTGGTAAATATAATTTTTTTCCTTGCGTTGGAACTTTAATACTATATGTATTTGGAAGATGATTGTTAGACTCAAAATATGATTTTGAATGTATTCTCATAAACATGAAACAAATTGTGCAATGTAAATATAGAACAATTTAACTTATTAAGTTGAATTTCAAGATTAAAGATATAATGGAAAATATTTTTGCTTGATAACAACATCAAAAAACTGATTCATCATAAATTCCTTAAAAAGGGCTGGTTTATTTATTTTTGTGTCACGTTTTGCCTCAATAAGTCTGTGTTTGTACTGTACAGCCTGCACTAGCTGGTTAAAATTCAGCCCGGTACTTGAAATTAACCTAAATTGACAGTGGATTAAATGTCGTCTTCTTGTTCCTCCGTTTTATGGGTTCTACTGTATGTTGAATCCAGTGTAATGATATTAAAGTGGTTGGAATTTAAAACAAATCAATTGGTATAACTTGCAGTACATTACAAATGTATGCAGTTTAATTGCAAACTTTAAAAATGCATTTTTCAAACTGCGTTGCATTCTAGTAAAGTGCATATTTCAAGTATATACTATCAGTTGCATTGTATTCTCATGCTGAAGGCAATCCTGACATATATGCATTATGTCCTCAATAAACTTTAAGGGACGCTAGTGACGTAATTTCAAGTGACCTAACATGCCTAATTTACTTTGGTATTTTTACATGAGATACTTTATGTCGATTTCCTTTCTTGTGTTTGCTGCATAAATCCAAAAGTCACTTTTAAAGAGCTATCCCCCGCGTGGTTTAAAAGAATTAAGTTTTTGCCACAAACTCAAATCTTCTGATCCCAGTATCTTTGCAACTTGATATTTCAAACTTAGATTATTTTATCTATAAGTATTCATAGTTTGAAATATCTAAGGTCTACGACATTGGGTTACAAAGATATAGAGATTAGAAAATCAAAGTTTGTGGCAAAAACTCAACTCCTTTATCAATTTTTAGAATTAATCAATTCCTTATTAATGCTGCGCCAGAGTATCGTTGTGCATCGGGCATGTTTCTGTGTAAATAGAAGGTCATTTGAAATTGTGTCGATAGGTAATTCAAAGCTACATTGTGCATTGCCTCAAGACCCAATAGTACAGAGCGTCCCATATCACATTAGATAATCTCAAAGCGTTAAACGCCAAAATACGCACACAGGACTCGAAAACCTTAGTATTGGCTACATACAAATCTTACAATAGCAATATACAATTTAATGATTCGTTCTTTTTAGTTTTTCTGATAAATCCTGAAAATCGCAATTTAAAGCATGATACGATCCAATATGATGTGGGACACCCTGTACTCTGTAGGTCTCACACAAGAAATATATAGACAAGGAACCGCCATATTTCATGCGTTAAATCTGTGTACTGCAGTGGGTGGAGATCAAAACAAAGAAGTCAGGGGCAATGCATCATTTTTGAGGGAAAAGGGCCCAAGGGGTGGATTAAGAATATATTGCTATTGTATTTTCCATATTGACCAGAAAGCCAAAAATCATAAGTATTCCCTTTAACTTGATATATTAACTTAATTTTTTTTTTGGACTGTAACAGCACATCAGAGCTGTGGTCCTTTTAATTCAACTTCTGTGGGGGCACTGGATTTGTTTACATTCCTCCCACAGTGTACAGTACATAATATGCGTATATCTGAGATGGGTGTTCCTTTTATAGTTCCTTGGTCTCACAAAAATTTTACTAGAAGCTGGGATTGTTCATTTTCCCTACTGTCCCGAGTTGTCCCATAATGTCGGTATATGTACTGTACAGCTTGCTTCATCAGGTTACAAGTCGACCCGTTACGGTTCTTGAATTGAACCTTAGTTTCCAATGGTTACCAGAGATAGGAGAGTAACAGAGATCTATTAAAGGCTAGAATATTGAGTATTTTCCAGAGCATGATCTATTGTGTACAACTGGAGTACACGACCAATAAACAGACGTCTGTATTCAGGGATATTTAAGGATCCTTTAGATAAAAAATACAAAACCTTCAAAAATAGATTAAATTTTATGTTTCATGTTAAAAGTGAGAGTTTTTAAAAATTTTAAAACTTAACCCCTGAACGGGAAACATGCATCCAACAAGTGGCCGTTATATGGCATTCAAAGTTTTGTTTCAACTTCAGTTGTCTGGTTTTATTCAACCAATTAGATTATTTTATCATATTTTATTATTTTTAGGCGGGATATTCGACATTGTGAGAAAAGATATTCTTGTCCACTGCCTATGCAATACATAGACAAGATTATGTATTAGCTAGATAAAGCAAGAAATCCTGAAATCTTTGTAATAATAAAACCTGCAATGATATATACTTTGGAGAAACAAACTCAGCGGTAATATTAATTTAATGATTCGTGACGAAAATGATTGTTTAATGTTAAAAAATGTATCAAACCTTCTTTTTCAGATTACGAGTTCCGGTATGCTTGAGCTGGACTTATTTCGTTTTTTCAAATTGATATTTGTAAACCCAAAAATTCTTGCTATACCTGTTTTGTTTTTTCAACAACTCGCGTTTGAATCTATGATTTATTAAATCATGATATTAATTTTCATATTTTATATTTATTTTACTGTTTTGCTTTTGTTAGAAAAAAATGTTATCATATTTTTATGGTTCATTTGTAATTTAAACTTAAATTGTTATTTCTATATTTTTAAATAAATATGTATTTTTATTTATAATGTTTATTTGAACAATCCTAATTAAACTAAGTTTCATATTCCTTCTTCATTTTCTTCGTTCAACTCTCCTTTTTTATTTGTTTAGAAGATCTTTTTTTGTCAATTAATTATTATGTTTAATCTGAAGGTCCCTCATTCAAAACAATTCCAGAGATGGTTAGAAAAATCCTGGCTATTAAAATCAAAACAACATCTATATGTGTTCATTGTTCATAAAGTATAATGATTAAAGCCAAAATAAATCTATTTATCATAATTAAACCAATTACACAGATTTAGTTTATTTTCAAGCTACTGGAAAAACTTTTTACTTTACTACAAGTTTTTTCATATGTCGTCTTCATATTCCAAAGTTTTATGAATTCCAATGTTTATTAATTTTTTTCGACAAACACAATGATGGTTTCCTCATTGTTACTCAGAAAACACTTTTCAAAATCAGACATGTAACTCTTTACATAGAGAAATTACGTCATTAAGTTCTTTACAAAAAATGCCATTTTTCTTGATAAATTGAAACTATATTCCGGCCAAGTGACTTGGAACCTGATTTGGACCTCTTTGGAACTGTCCCTGCTCCCAATTCTATTTTCAAAGATCTGTTTGTCATGTATGTAACGCCAAAGCCGAAAAGTTATCCAAAAACATTTTGCCTATTTCTTCTTTCAACTTTTCATCCTGGTTTGATATCTCGTTTTCATCTATCTTGAAGCTTTGACAAATAAACTTCTTCATACTCTATTCTGTAGGATAATCTCGTAGCGTTTCATCTTCATCCTCTTCTACTTCAGATTTACTACCCCACCTTAATTCTTCTTTGAGCCAGTCTTCTTTATCAATTGTTTTTCTTTGCTGTAATACTTTAAGCCCTCTTCCTCCTTTTTCTTCTGTGCCCACAGAAATATTGCTCTTGCCTGACATGTTTCCTCCGATCATTTCCCAGAATTCCTTAGATACTAAAGTTCCCTTCACTAGATTTCCTGTATCTGCTAACGCTAAACCATAAATGTCACACTTGAATAACTTATATTTCACATTAAAGATTTTATTGTCGTCTTTCTCTAACTTAACCATACTGTTCAAATTCATAAATAAATCTTGTCGAACATTTAAAAGATTTGAAACGTTTACTAATTCATCATTATCATTATTTTTGAAATTATGTCTCCTCATCTCTAGAGTTGCCAGCTCTTCACTGTTGGAAATCTCTAAAGAAAAAGCGTATCCGGATTCCGAAGCCAGCTTCTTGGTCAACTCTTGCATGTCTGCCACTGATTTCCAGTTCTGCCACTCTTCTGCCTTTATGATTTCCGTCGCCTCTTCCTCCATTATTCCGTCTCTCTCCTTTGCATTCCCCCGAAATATGTCCTGGTTTGCCACAACAAGAGATAGGCTTCTGAGCGGTACTTCTGGAATTCCAGTTTGGATTCTTCTTCTTCCATTCTTCATACTCCCTTGCATAGTGCATTGTGTTAAAATCTCCATAATTTTTTTTTGTTTTCTGATTCATCTAATACTAAACCAGGCCTCACATTTACATCCATAGGAACTTTTCCTGTTTTCCACATTTCATCCATTTTCATGCGTTTTCCCTCTGTCTCAAAACTATATGTGCTCCTTAATTCAGCCATATAATATGAAGGAGCCCTGGGGTCTGTGTTGAATGTTCTCATGTTGACCAGCTGATGATCCAGTATTGCCTTGATCTCGCTTTCATATTGCAGTTCCATAGGCATGTTTTTTGAGCTCTGCTTGGTACAGTCCCATGAGCATTGCATTCTTGAATTCTACCAGGCTCCTCTTGGCTGGAGCATATGCTTGTACCTATAACCTCAACTTCTTCCCCTGTCTTCTAGCTAGGTATTCTTGTTTCCGACCTTACTCATCTTTTTCTTGCGTGAATTTCTTCAACAGCTCTGTGAAAAACACTCCTTGTCTCAAAGTTCTCAAATGATAATCCTTGAGGCTGCTAAAGCATTATTACTTGTCTAGCTGCTTCCGTAATGCAGGACAACAGCATCCTTTTCACGTCCTCATCACATTACATGAAATTACACCCTAATTTCGCGAAATTGAAGTTTCGCCAATTACGCGTGCAATCCTGCAAAATTACACAAAACAAAAATTATTTCGCGTAACTGCACGTAATTTCGCCTAAGTGAATAATCTATTACGTTGGAAACCCTAATTCATTTGCTCCATGTTTTGCACTACGATTTGAAACTCTGTAAAAGCTGTTCCGGCTTCCTGCACATTCGGCATATTTAGTTCTGTATCTGATTCGTTTTCACTAGATACTTCGCTGTTTGCAGTCCTAACTTGTTGATATACTATTACTGCTTCTTCTGACACAGTATCTCCTCGTTTTGTTTCTCTTATTACTCCATAAACCAGGTACTGACTTGATTTTACTTCCTTGGAGTCCCTGGCATTTAATTTGGATTCATTTAAGTCTCACTGAGGCTACTACTTTTGCAACAAATACCTTACTTAAATAGTTCTTTTAAGTCTGTATCAATCCAGATACAACCAGCTCTCAAACTCTATATTCTCCAATAATACTTTAGTCTGTATCAATCTAGATACAACACTCATTGTATTCATTAGTCGGTATTGTTAAGATACAACTCGCTCTAGAACTCAATGTTCTAAAATAATGCTTTAGTCTGTATTAATCCTGATATAACACTCTCTGTATTCTTAGTATGTATTGTTCAGATACAACTCCCTCTAGAATTCAATGTTCTCCAATAATACTTTAGTCTGTATCAATCCAGATACAACGCTCTCTCTGATTTCTAAGTATGTATTGTTCAGATACAACTTCCTCTCAGACTCTATGCTCTCTACAGAAGAAATAATACGAGTCTGAATTTAATAAAGCAAAGGTTCATGTCCAAATAACTTATATTTCGGGTATTATAGTACATGTTAATAATATGGACTGATAGGTTTGTTCAGAAATAAATGAACGTAATTAAAGTACAGATAATGTTATAACGTTAAATATGTTCAGGTTTACAAAATATGGGGTTTATATTACTACATGTGTAAAGGATAAATAGTACACTACTGTACAGTGGAAAACATGAGAAAATCACAATTCTGTGGATAAGATAAATACTGCTTTACAGTGTACAGGATAGAATGCTCCTGCTGTGCTGTACGGTGTACAGCGTACGTACCTCTTAAACTCAGTAATAGCTGAAGAATCTTAATATCGTGCATACACTAAATTCTACGGGCAAACATTTACGACGGATCGGATAGTTCCAAGCCCCGCCCCTTAATCTGGTTTCTGAGCCTAGAATTTAATAATACTTCGAATTGAACTAAATTGTAAAACTAAATCTGACATGTGCACTGCGCACTGCGTACCCAGGGAGCACAGACTTATTAAAACGTGTAATAGCATAATAATTACAAGTCTGATGCAAAATTATTAACAATTCTTATACAAAAAAACCCTCAAAGATTAAATAATGTTGCTAAACAAAGCAGAGTTAAATTTCATTAGAAAAAGGCAGGACACCCAATATAATGTTTAATTTTAAAATTAAAAAGGAAAAACTTAACAAAATGTTGAGTTTCAGATCGTCTCGTCGTCTCATCCTTTTTTGATTAACTCTGTCACTGTTTAAAAATTTGGCTTGCCTGTCAGGCTGTCATATTAGTTGAATCCATTGAAGGTCAAAGTGCTTGAACTGATCGGTCCAATTTTTTTGTGGAATCCCAACATGATCCCATGGGACCAGGCAGAATTTGAAAATGTTGCCTTGAATAATTATTGATTAATAATATTATTCTTTAAAAAATCCAGGGTTAAAAATATCAAAAATATTTTTTTATAATGTTTGAAGAAAAATTGGTTGCCATTGAAGTCATATTATAAAACTTTAATTATTACAAAAAAAGTGTCACAAAGCGCCTTTAAATATAAGGATTGATTATTAGTACAGACTTTAATACCAAATATTGGCTAAAATTCGTGTTTTAAACCGCACACTCACTTCATAACGAAACCTTGAAACCATTAGTTGTAAAACAATGGTTTAATTAGTGTTGCTGCGCGAAACAAGCGAGGTAGACTTGAAATATTAGAGTAACAAAATAGCAAAACAAGGTTACACTTTTGCTAAAAACTAACATTACTCTGTAAAATTTTAAAAAATAGTTTTAGCAAAGGAGGATTGAAATATGATGATAAATATTTGTTTCAATAACATATTGATAACGGAATACTATTTCATATATTTCTCAAGAAAAGGACTAAACTGATGAAAATATTCCATCTCAAAGTAAGACCATAATGTTTGACAACGTACTTTGCTGGTATTTTGTAAATTTAAAGGTTTAAAATATAACGGTTAAATTTGAAAGTACACAAACTGTTAAAGATGAGTGTTTTTTCTCAAACTTGGGTCACAGATTTGTGATAAAAAGTTGGTAAAATTGGTGAGTTTGTGTTGAATACAAATATAAACAGTGGCCGAATTTAAAGATTTTGAGCTACGGTTTAAATTTAGGCCGCTGCTTAAATATGGTTGGTTCCTCTTAAATTTTAGAATTTGAAAAAAAATCTTATGTCATTTGTCGATTTTGAAAACGCTAAAAGGGTGCAGATTTTTTTTTTTGGGGGGGGGGAATTTGGTTGTAAAGATCCCCCCCCCCCATTGGGAAAAGAAAATGTCTGCATTCGAGGGTAATGTTCCAATAGTCTTGCAGCCGATTTACTGGGGTTTTTTTGCCCATTTTACGTCTTTGTTTGACTCTTTCAGGTTTATTTGTTGTAACTCAGTCAACTTTTTGACATAAGTTTCAATGGTTTTAAAACAATATTTTTAAACTGAATTATAGCATTTGTTGCCCCCCCCCGCAACTTCGTACACACCCCCCACTTAG